AACACCGCACAGCCCTTCTCTTTATTGTAAATGTCGATTACTTTAGTTTTAAATTGACGAGTTTTAATTAGAATGGTTGGTTTAGCGATGCCTTTTCCTGTAGTTTTACAAGTTAAGTTTGTACCGAACATATGATACGCTTTAGCAGCTGTGCGTAGCTTGTATTTACACGAGAGTATAATCGTTGGTCAAACGATGCTGAAGGTGAGAGTGGGACCGGTGCGGTTGGTAGTAACTGCCCTAGTGATGAAGGGGTTGCCAACCTCGGCTGATCTGATCTTAGGTGCGAATATCTTAGAGCAAAGTCGAATGCGAATCGATTTTGACACCAGAGTGGTAACACTCCGGAAGGGTACGCAAGAGTTTCGTCGTACCTATTCGCACGGAAAGGAGGATCCTTCCAAAGATCAGCGCCCAAAACATCACGTTATCATGGCAATGCAAGCCAGGGCAGAATGCTTATCAATCAATCGCACACAAGCGAAAAACATGGTGCGAAAGGGAGCGCACGTGTTATTAGTCCATCCGCGGCTAACTGCTGGCGCAGTAGTACGCGCAGCTGCGACCCGTGGGTCAGGTGGGCCGGACGTACCGACTATCTCAGCCGCTGAAGTAAAAGTGACGGATCCAGAAATCGCCGCCTTGTTGGAGCGATATCAGGATATCTTTGCGGACATAACTGAGCCACCTCCTGAAAGATTGGTGACTCATACCATCCCGCTGGTCGAAGGTGCTCAGCCCGTTGCTCGGCCCCTATATCGACTAACTCCAAATGAATTGGAGGAAGTTAAACGACAAGTTCAAGACTTGTTGCGTAAAGGGATGATACGGCCAAGTAGTTCGCCGTGGGCTGCACCAATCCTTTTCGTTGCTAAAAAGGACGGCACCCTACGAATGGTTGTAGACTATCGTGGGCTAAACGCTCAAACGGTAAAGAACCGGTATCCTTTACCACGGATCGATGATCTAGTCGATAGTCTCGGTGGTAGTACAGTGTACTCGTCCATCGACCTTCAACAAGGATATGTAGCAACGTCCAGCTAGTCATAGAAAACTGAGTCTGACGACTTTGGTTGCGTATCGTTCCGGGCATAGCAGGAGGTGGAATATTGCCATATCGTTAATTAAAAACTATAAACGCGTTGAGAATGGTCATGTACATACGGCGCACCGCGTAAAGACTGACGATGAATGTTTCGACCGGGCGACGTAAAAGCAGGCGATTTGTATCTGACGATCTAGCTCCGGTCTGAGAAATGTTCTATGAAAAATATCCTGTACTAGTTTCTTCTCAGTTTCCTTTGGCCGCCATGAACCTGGCCAGGAGCTGCGTAAACGGGTAGCTACCGTTGCGTAATGAGCAGTTGCTGCGCGAAAAGGGTAGCTACGTCTTACGTTGACCATACGACAGTTGTACGAATGGCGGGCGCGTTTACCATATATAAGGCGCGGCCTGACCAATGTTTTCTGAGGGATATTCCAATCATACAACTCCCGCGCACGGTAGCAGGACGCACCGGCCAAGGCAGTTTGTAACGGATATCGCCTTCACTTGGCGTGGATGACTCCCACCTATTTTATCTTGTCAACAGCCAACCAGGTTCCAAGCTGACATTGGGCCTAGTGGCCAAGAAGCAGTAAAACTCTGCTCACAACCACACCTGGGCCTACGGTCTCAGGACTAAACTCTGATTCTGCTTCCGCTCGCGCACACAAATCTCGATCCTATCTCGCTTAAGACAATCTACTGGTATCGATTCCTTTCTATAAACGATCCTGGGCGCCCCGGTGTGTCCATCCCGCGGTTCCCCCAAACGCGAAAATTTTTGGGCTGCCGCTGGGTGCCGCCCGCCGCGGCGCGGCTGGTATCGAGACTAGGGTTTCAGCCCTGTCTCTAGCTACTTTCGAACAGTCTGCTGGGCGTCCCACTGGTTGTACGTCTCGTACGCCATGGAGAGCCAACATCAATCTCACTTTATCACACACCCTCATCCCTCAAGCGTCTCGTCTGTGCCTATCTTCCGACTGGGAGACAGTGCACGGCAATGGGTCGCCAGGGTTGAGAGATGTGGTCGGATGTACGGCTGGAGTGAAGAGGCTCAGCTGGACGTCGCCATCTGCCGCCTAGGAGATGAGGCCATCTGCTGGCAAGCCGGCATGGAAGCGTCTCTCCCCGATTGGCCTAGCTTTAAAGCCGCGTTTCTGGAACGATTCGATCCGACCCAAGAAGAGTTGTTTAGCCGACTAGCTCATTGTAGGCAAGAACGGGGCGAAGCTGTACGGACGTACGCTGACCGCTACCGCGACCTAGCTGCACAACTGGGCGTGGACACGCAACACGACCCCGTCCACATGCATAACTTCTTACAAGGACTACAGCTCAAGGTTTACAACAAGGTTTTCCTCATGCGCCCATCTAGCTTTGAAGACGCCGTACGATGTGCCATCTATATCAACGAGGGCTTGGACCGCCAGGATGTGGCTGGCCACTACGAACCGTTTCCCCCTCAGCGCACACACGATATGGATTTCCACAGCCATCCTTCTCGGGCTACCCCGCGCTGGGAAAACCGTCACGGCGACCTTCGAGGTAATGTGCCTGATTCCCCGA